TATTTGAGTCGATGAGTCAATGCAATCAAGTGGTTTTCCTTAGATAGAAAACTTTGAATCAATTTGATTGTATGATCTGGTGAACTGTAAAGTGCCTTGAGATGACATGTGTTGTGAATTTGGCGCTATATAAATAAACTGAATTGAAATGAATTGAAAGAGCCAATTTAATACTTGGACTCAACTTTATTTATCCCCTCAGGATCCCTTCTTCAGGGAAATTCTGGTCCCAGTAGCTTATATGGAGTACAACAGAGTTAAAGCAAGATGCCATTAAAGATAAAAATACCACAGCCAATATAAAAAAGTGTATATAGTACCAAAAAAAGCATAAAAAGGGAGAAAAGTTGTAATGTCCTGGAATATGTTTCCCTTAGATATAAAAATATCTGCACAGTAGAGAGCTAAAGGAAGACTATGTAGTAGTTGACTTGGATTATTGCACTTGTACTGCAGAGATGTATTGACCTTAGATAGGTCAGTACATGTAAAGTTTTTCAACACCCAAAGCAAATTAGATTTTTAAGCAAATCATTTGTATCCGTTTTCAATACACAATTATATATAAAAAGCTGAAAACAGAGGGTGGTGGTGCAGGTTGTTTCTCCATTTTCAAAACAAAAAGACATTAAAATTGACAATTTTATTTAACCTATTCAAGAACACTCTTAAATCTCAAGTACTAACTATTTCTAAAGAATCTTAGCTCACTTGTGGGATTCATTAAAAATGTTGTGATTATATGTGAAGGCTGCATTTTAAATCTTACTTTAGTTGTTGAATAGTAAAACTCAGTAGAATGTGATCTAATATTTTCCAGGATTCCTCTGGAAACAAACATTAGGAGCCTCTTGGGTGTTGTTTTGACCACTGTGTCTTTTGAAGGTCCAATAACAGCAATTTTCTCACCAAAATTAGAACTTTTTCTATCAGTACTTCCTGATACTTGACTAAATCCACCAAACTCTCTATGTTTTCAGTGACCCTTTCTACTTTTAAGGCTAGGCTTAAAACTTTCCTTTTTGATGAAGCTTATAGTTAGAGTGGCTCAGGTTATCCTGAGCTATCTCTATAGTTATGCTGCTATAGGCTTAGAATGCTGGAGGACGTAGGGACCCCTACTTCATCATTCTATATCTATCCGCTGCAGAATCTGTTAGTTCAATCTCTAACGTTCTGCTCTCTCTCTGCTTTTTCTCATAGTAGCTTCACCTCATTTGTTCCTGTTTGGCTGTGACTTCACCTTGGAGAGAAATATCAGCTTTGCTGCTGCTATCAACACCTTTGTTTCTAGATGTTGGAGATTTTCCAGTGTATTCCTGTGCGAGTGGCTGGATGTGCTCTCTTCATCCTCTAACATGGGAGCTGGCTCAGAGCTCGTCGGCCTGGCTGTGTGTTTCAGTGTATTCTCATTATTAGTACGTATGAAATCTTACGAAAAGTTATGCACTGTAATTTCGTACGTTTTAGACGTTTTTTTCCTCGCATTTCGTCATATTTTTACGTCTTGCCTCAAGACAAGATATCCTTGCGCATGCGCATGTTACGCACCATTAAATAACATAGAATTTAACATACAATTCACCCTAACCCTGACCCTAACCCTAAGATACAAAACAGCAAGCAATGTAGTTAGAGACATGAAGAAGTAATTATTGCACTGTTTTTCCCAGTTTTACGTCCGTCCGCGGATCTGCTTTTTTCGTCTGTGTGGCTGCGCATGCGCACTGATCTGTATTTTCGAGGAAAAACTTTCCAAAACGTACGAAATACTGTGCATAACTTTTCGTACGATTTAATACGAACTGATAATGAGAATATGTTGTGTGTTTCCTGGACAGGGCCGCCTTTTACAGTTGCCTTTTGTATCTCTGCTTCTGTCTCCTTGAACCCCAGTCGGCCTCGGCAGATGGCTGCTCACACTGAGCCTGGTTCTGCTGGAGGTTTCTTCCTGTTAAAAGGAAGTTTTTTCTTTCCACTGTCACTACAAGCATGCTTAGTGTGAGGGATTGCCTTCAAGTCAATTAAGAACAACAAGGAACCAGCACTGATCGGCT